TTTTTTATCTATTATAGCAACAGTTTCTGATGGATATTTATCAGATAATAAACAAAATAAATACAAATTTTGCTATATTTTATAGCATAGTGTTTATTTTTAATTTTTTTAGTGTTTCTTTGATAAATTGACTTCAGCTCGTTTTCTTTAATACCAAGTTAGTATGTATAGTTATTGTTGAAGTAACTTCTTTTGTACGAATTAAAAGAAGATGCATGAAATGTCTGAACTGTTGTGGTTACAAATTTAATTCTTAACTTTTTTATGCAATAATAATAGCTAGATAAATTACCACATATTTCAGGTTAAATTAGATAACTACCAAACCTAATGCGAGCATCGCTATTAATATTTAAATAAGTCAACCAGTCAATTTGAAAAATCGAGTATATTCAAAGAAAAGAATCCGGTTTTAAAGATCTATTCAGTTGTTTATAATAACTATAAAAGATAATCATATTAAAAATAAAAAAGTGAAACTTGTTACACATTACGGGCTTACAAAAATAGTCTGTGAACAGCATGCGATCCAAATATGAGAAACTCGAAGATGATTTGTGACGAAAGAATAAGTGATATCTTGTGGTGAAAGATAAATGCACCTGTTAAAGGTCGTCTTTCAGTAATCTTAGTTGTTCATGTATGGAAAATAGTTTACCACAAAAAGTAATTATCTCTACTTAGGTATGATAATGGATTCTTAAAATAAACTTAATAATTTAAAAAATAGAACAACTGACTTTGATACAATTTATGAAATAGATAATTACTACTTATTTATGTATGGTATTTGAGTCGTATAAATAAATCATGTATAAAAAAACTTTTTTTTTGTAAGAAAATATGTATTCTTCAATTTGTATTACTAAATTATATAATTGTTAAAAATGATTTAAATTAGATATTTGTGAGCTCTTATAATAGCTTAAGTCCTTATACAGGATGAAATAGATCAAACTGATTACTCTTATAAATTTTGATAAAATCAATATTTTGTTATAATTTATGCATTCTTGAACTATGTTAACATCTTATTTTTTATAATTTGTTGTAATAATAAAAGTAATTTTTATTTTTATTTTAATATAGTCAATTCTCAAGCACTTTTCTGGTGAACAAATTTTGATGAATCGATAACAACTTATGAATGAATAATTATTGAGTTACACGCATTTTAATTCATCTAGTATGTATGTAGCGCGGGGACGTGCAGTTTGTAATGATGAATATTTATAAAGCATATTCCACTGTCCTCACATACCCACTTTATGTATTAAAACACTTATAACTCAATAATCACTTAGCCTATAGTTGTAATTGATCCATTTTTTGCAGGAAAAGTGCTTAAAAATTGACTATTTAAAAAGTTTAAAATTAAAAAGCGGGAGGAAATTTTTTTCTTTACCTATAGTGTAAGTACAAATAGATACAATATACAATAAGTAAATAAATAAGTAGTATCTATAATAAACGAATAAATATTATCTTAATTAAAGTTTTTGTAATAGTATTTTGAAATTAAATTTAAATCACGGCTAATTAATTTTGAAATAACTATGTTTTTGACAATGAAAAATCTAATTGTATAATTAAGTTACATAGTTTTCATATTATATTATGAAACATTGTGCTGCTTTTCTCTGAATGTTTATGGTTCATCTAAATATGTTTTTACAAAATTGATATTTGAAAATCAAATTAAAATGGAACATAAATTTTTATCCTGTCATTTTTACTGTAGTTAAACTGGTATTAAGATATTGTACATACATACATTAGAAAGCTACAATAATAATTTTTTCTATTTTTTACTTTTTTCGTAGTCTAGTACTTTATTTTTATTACTATTGGTATAAAATTGAATTTTACAAAATTTGAGACAAATTGAATAATTTTTTCATATGATAACTTGAGGTCTTGGTATAATTTGCCTCTTTATTACATTAATAATTAATAATTATCTTCAATAACTCAGTAAATACAATTAGGGTAAAAAAACATATAATCGATTAAAAACATCATAATTTTTAGGTAACATGATTAAAAACAGTATGGATTCATAAAAGAAACAAATATTGAAAATAAAGAAGGAGTTTTCAATTATATTAAAATATAATATTCTATTTTTCTCAGACTTTATAATATTAAGAAACCATAGAAATTCTAAAAGAATAAAAACATTATGAAACTAATAAATCACAGACATTTAAATAAATAAAACTTAGAATGGGATAGAATATATATACTTAATGTGACTTAAAAACTCGGGGATTTAATAAATATACGTATGTAATGTATTATCACATAATTTTTGTAGTGCTCGAACTTTGATAACTGTCACTATATGTAAATATAGATAAACGTTCATAGTTTTTGCTTTATTTTTTCGGCAGTTAATACAAAAGTACAGGGTAGTGGGAAAATTCGAAAATTTGTAAAGTAGGTGGTTACATAACTAACTTACATAGATTTGCATATTTTATTCGTTGAAGTTGAACTATCATAATAATTTGATATTTTTGTTGATAGAAATTTTGGAATTTTATTAATTGTAATGAAATTATCATTATCAATGATACACAAATATCAATTCTATTTTAAACATTTATTTTTCTATAAATAAATAATGTCTACTGTACAATAATTACACAAATTACCGATGCCGTTACCTTTTCACCAAATTGTTAAAATTATTACAACTGGACAATTCGTTCGACATGTTATTATTGTCACAAGAAAGTACACCGCGTGCAAAATACGTGTCACAGAGCGCTGTGATTTGTACTTCGTTGTACACTAAGAAAATTGTACGATTTTACTTTGCAATGAAATAAAATTAATAAAGTAAAATGTAAAATTATCTATCTAAAATTTGTATACCATAGGAAATATTTGAGGAAGATCATTTTACTATCATCATAAAATTCATGTTACGTTGTGGTAATGGTTAATTTTAATAAATAATTTTGTTACGCAACCAAAAATACCAAAAGAAATAATTTAGCGTGTTTAAAAATATGATCGGTTGACAATGCAATAATATTTTAGACGTTTATTCAGTCATCTAAATTAATATTTCAATTTCAGTAAAATCCTATTTATATTCAATTTTTAAAATAATGAATCAAACAAATCAATAAAAAAACATTATAGAAACTGTCATACCATAGGGATCTTTCATAGCTTATAATTTTAATAAAAGGACAACTATAAATTCAGCCTTCAAGTAAATGTATAAAAAATGTGATCTGATTATAACACAAGTGAGAACTAAATAGCAGACGTCGCATTAGATATGGATTATCATTTTTTTAACAAGAGCAAGTGATCTATTCTACTTTATATAGTAATATAGTGAAAATGGAATGTCTTTTTTTATAAATATACGTCAAAATATACTTAATAATACTGTCATAGTAAATTTGTTTTTTAACAAAGCAACCCATTACAAAAAATTTATAATGAGATGAATTATAGAAATTTGAACATTAAAAGAACTCATTAAAAGATAATATAAACATACTTGAACTGATATTTAAATTAGTCTATTTCATTGTATGCGAAATTTATAGAAATTATAATAAACTAAAATTTGATTTTATAGGATCATGGAAACCTTTGTTCAGAGCATCGCAATTACTTAAAACAGAGTTTCCAGATCATAGTGCACTTCATGAAGAAGTAAATTCACATTTTCGACAAGGTATTAGCGATCAAATAGATAACCACCTACAAGAAGCTAGAGGACTAACTAATAGACATAATCATATGATCCATTTACATCTTATTCCACACATATATGTGCCGGTTATGCATCAGACTGGATTTACGTCTTCTATTTCTGAGGCCAAACTCGTTGATAATCACAGTGTTCTCGACGATTCTTCGGCATCTTTAATAAATCACGATTCATCCTCAGAGTTTCCTCAAACGGATTCTATTGAGAGTAATAGTGTTGGTCAAAAAGGTAGCACAACAAGTAGTGAAGAACATGTTTCTACTGAACCCGAGCATTCAAATAACTTAAACACACATTCAGGCGAATCGTTTTATTCTACTATCAATGAAGAGGCATTAGCTCAACAAGCTTTACAAGAAAATTTTGACAAAAATATTGTAAGTGAATCTACTGATAATAATTTTGAGTTGTCGTCAAATGCCAAAACAGAAGTACCTCATCAATACCAGGTAAACTAATATATTGAGTTAAATATATAATCGTCTCGTATACAAATGGTACTTTTGTTTCTCATTCTAATAATTTTCAAGTATTGATAATTTTTTTTAGAGAATTTGAATTTTATAATTTTTCAATAAATAAATATGCAGAAAAACTAAAAAATTACATATACTTATTTCGGAAATAATGTTAGTGATAAACTTATACTGATGATAATGATAACATTATTTCTAAAATACGTATATGCAACTTTTTGTGGATTTTTTAGTTATTCATTGATCAATTATTATTATATAAATATTCAGAGCTATATTGAGAAAAAATTATAATAGTCAAATAACAAACTAGCGTTTTAAATAGTTGGATTTTTTTTAACTTAAGAAATACTAAAAATTTAATCTATTATACATTTTCATTATTATAATAGAAAACTTTACAAGAGATAAAAAAAATTATGTCATTAGTGGTTTTAAAAACAATACTAGAGTTATAATAATACAGAGAGTTACTTTAGTTTCTAAAAATATTTAACTATAATTATTGTTGTTAAGTGTAATTCAATATTTTTTTGTATATTTTAGTTTTTTGGGTTGTAAAGCAATCTTTACTTTTTACTTCAGTACCTCTAAGCAAATGCTCACTCCACTAAGTATTGATAAATTCCTGGTACATGTCTAACTGTCCCATAAAACTAATTTAAAACAGTGAACAGTTATCAATTTTGGTCTAAAATGATCCTTCTATAGTTAATACGGCAATTTACTTACAAATCAACATTTTATGTTGCTTAAAATACTAAACTTAGTGATTTCTAAATCAATTTATTACATTACATTGTTATCATTTAAATTACGGTATTGTAAATTTTAAAATCTTAAAAATTCAATTTCTCCTTTTATGTATTTTTGGATTCAGGTACACGAATCAGAAGATCTATCAAATGATTATAGTAGTAAAAAACAAGTAGTGAGTCAGTCGTCTACTTTGATGCCAAATAAATCTTTTCCAAGACACCGAAAGTCAACACCTAAGCCAAATAGATCTAAATATGGACGGAAACTTACTGACAGACAGGATTTGAGAAATTTATTAGTAATGAGGCCTCCGCCCTTGGGTCAGTTGCAAACTTGGAAATATGTATTTCCTCCACAAAAACCTTCACCACGCCATCAGTTCTATAAGAGAACTCAACCAATGATGCCAATTTTAAAAAAAAGAACACTACCAGTTATACTGCATATCCGTCAGAGGCAAAATTAACGTTGAAATAAATATATGGCGAAATTCTAAATTACCGGAAAATTTAAACACTGCATTTTTACCTATTGTATTATTATGTTTAAACAAGAAACAAAATTGATGTCATAGCAAAATTCCTGGTCTAGAATTTTGATTTGGTTCATTGATTCCATCGTAGTTATATTTTATTGTTAGAGTAAATTATATTATTAAAATTAGAATAAAATTAATAGCGATGTATTAAAATTTTTATGTACATAATGTTAATTTTAGTTGTACTCATTTTTAGTTTTAATGTTTTTAAAACATTTTTAATTATCTTACATATGTTACAGATATTGATGAGATCGAATTTTTTAAAAATTATTAATTTATGTTATTAATCACACCATTTAAATGTATTTAATTAGTTTTAAATTAATTTTTATGAAAAATATAATTATATTTTGATTTGATGTGTTGCTTTGCTCTTGAATTATATTCTATCAAAGCTTTTTTTGGATATTTAATCTACGATCAATTATAAAATTATAGATTTGTTTTATAGTAAATAATATTAAAAAGTAGCTAGATTTCAAATAGATATACTATATTGCTATTAATTATATATTACACAGTTGATATTTACAATTTGCTTTAGTAAATAGTAATATATATATACATATAATAAAAACAATTTAAATTAACTTATAGCTATACATTTTAAAACGAGGGTGAAATTAATTTATTGGTTGTTGAGAAATTATTAAAACTAAGTGGTTTAATGAAAGATTATTTGATTAAATATTTTTTTAATAAAGAAATGATATGTCGTAGTACAAGAACAAAATTAATTTGCCAATAAATAATAACATTTCAAAATGATATAATGCCTAAATTATTTCTAATTCTATAATGTTTAAACGTATTATTTCAACAATAAATATATTACATTTATACAACATATAGATATATAGTCTTTACAGTGTTATAGTATTTAAAATATCACATTCTATAGTAAAAATAATTATGAAAACTATTTAATATTACATATTAGAGTGAAATATGATACAATTTTAAACCTTATCTTATCATTCATAATTAAGGGTAGTATAATTACTTTAAACTAAAAGGATTGACTAGTCATAATGTTAATTTTTATTGTGTATTAATAATAATAAACAATAAACTTTTTAAAGTATAAAATCCAAGGTAAATAATTAAAAATTTCTTAAAAATATTGTGTAAATTTAAGAAATTAATTTTAACAGAAACAATTAAAATAAATAATAAAGAAATGTTTTATAGTATTAAAAGATTCAAGTGAAATAAATTTTTTAAAGTTACAGATATGTTAATTCAAAAATTATTACTTAAGATTTATTTTCGAGAATAAAGTTAACTCCTAAATTAAATAATAAAAGGTTCTTGAAGTAAAAAACGAAAACTAAAATATAACAATATAAGTTTTTAAAAACTCTAGTCATTTAATTAATTTAATAATTAATTAATGATATTTATTAAAATATACTACAAGAATTAGGAATTTAGTTAAATTAGGAGTCTTAAAATATTTTACTTTTATTCAATCTAACTTTTTTTTTTGCCTGAGAAAGACAATATTTATGCTTTATAGAAAAATGACACAATAATAATTATCTAATAGGTATATATGACATGTTATCATTCAATAGTAAAAAATTTATATTTAATAATATTGAGTTTCTTAATACAATATTTCATATCTTCAGTCTAAAAGCTTCGTTGCGTAATTTAATAAATGTTTTAATTTTATAAATAAATACAAAATTTATGATTTAATTCTATAAAAATTATTATTTCAATTTTTTACTTTTCATTGTGGGCATTGTGGTAAAATTATTTAAATTGTAAATATAGCATACAAAAGATTGTCAAAACATATAGAATTATTTTTAATTTAAAATAAAGCTCGGCACTTAAGTTTAAGCATTCTAAGTCTATTATAACGTCAAAGTGATCATTTTTCTATTGATTCTTTGTCGCATTATTAAGTATTTATGCATTACTTAATGTAATGTAAACAACTAATTAACGTGACTGGATGATTTGAAAAGTGGCAATCTTAACGTAATTCTCTATGCGGTATGTATGTTGTGTTTTCCTTAAGGATGAACGGACAGTCTTTTAGCTCTTGGCGCTTACTCAACCGTCATGAGGTAGCAGGAGCGTAGCCAAGATTTTTGCGTTGCAGGAACAAATGAATTTCCCGGAACGTTGGTCTTTCGGATTCTTGTCGTTTCCAACATTCACGCATAAGGTCGTATATGTCCCTACTACACGCCGGTCTGGGCAAATATTCGAACATACCGTCGTCCATGTGCATATGCGACAGGTTCTCGACTACTTGGTGTTCGGTTAATCCTTCATAGGGCCGGCACTTGGCCAGATGGAGAATTTCCCAAAGGGTGACAGCGAACGACCAGACATCGCTCTTTGTAGAATATTTGTCCTATAACAAAGCATTTTATATAGTAACAATAAATTAGGAGGAATCAAGTCATATTAAGATCTCTATGAATCTTACCATAAAGGCTGATTCCCATGACATCCACCTGACGGGTAGTCCCATTTTCCCATCTAGTTTGTAATAATCTGCAGAATACATGTCGTTGTCTGTTCCAAAATCACTTATTTTAACTTTAAAACCTTTACCCACCAAACAGTTTCTAAAAAATGTGGAAAAGGAAATTAGTATTGTATTGAATTTAATAGAAAATAAAATTTTAAATGAAAATAAATGGTAACCTTGTAGCTAAATCACGGTGTACAAAATTGAGCGACTCCAAATAACGCATACCAGAAGCTATTTGGGTTGCGAGGTAAAGCAGGCATTGGATACTATAAGAAAAAAATTAGACGTGTAATAGTTGTTTTTAATCAAAATGCAAAAAGATTTGATATATACCTTAGAGTTTTGATGCCAGGAGGTAGATTCCTGGAAGCCTCAACAGGAACGTGCATTTTAAGGAACTGGTTGAGATCACCGTGCTCAGTATATTCCATGACCACACATAGAGGTTGTTCCATAGAACATACTCCCAAAACTCTGGCTATGTTTTGGTCTTCCAAACCAGCCAAAATTCTTACATCTCTCTGTAAGTCAGCCCTATACGAAATATCAATGTTATAAATATCTCATTTCGCGTATAATTTGATTATATACTATAATCAATAGTACGTCCTAACACCTAATATAAATAAAATAATAAAAAACTAACTTTTCTTTTTCTGTAAGAGAAGGAGAGAAGAATTTTACTGCAACTAATCGTTTGCCTAGAGTAGTATTTGAATGGTATTCGTTGATACTATCTGCTTCAGCTACGTAGATCTATTAAAAAACCAATGGTATTATTATATTTGGTTGAGTATTTGATCAAGCCAAATGTATATCATAATGGCGAAATCGTTAACAAATCAACAATTAATCTAAGTAATATTAGCTAATATTTATTTAACTTACCGCTCCGTAATTTCCTTCGCTAAGTTTTGATAACATACGCAAACGGTGTCGTGGAAATTCAGGCACAGGTGTTTGTTCGAGTCGACGTTTCAACGCTGTTTGAGATTCTTGTTTTTGTATTGACTGAAAAAAATATAAAATAAATATTTGAGTATTAAATAAGTTATTTTGTATCGATGCGCTTAAAAATAAAATCATTATGATGACAAAGATATATGTTCGTCATATCCATTAGAGGATTTCAACGTTTTCAAGTACAAACGGTGCGAGATATTATTGTAGTGTTTATTTTTTGACAAAAGTCACAGATGTGATGTCGTGTAACAAAAAGAAAGATACTTTAATGGTGAACTAGCTTGTTATTGATATTGTCTAGTTACACGTGTAGGTACCAAAAACAGCATAAGTGTGAATGTGGCTTTAAGTGATGCGCACTTAGTATCAATCAGGGCATAATAGGCTGATTTGCGACAGTACGAGATACATTAAAGTCAACCGATTATGTACACGTTTTGTAAAAACCATTGAAATCGACACGACATGTCGCGTTCGGATCATTATTCATAATCTTTTCATTCGACAACAAAAGAAAGTAAAATAAGGAAAGACAAGAATATGCTTACATAAAGTATAACAAACTAAGCCTAAATAAATCATATCTCGGCAATACTGTACTCAAGAGAAAAACTCCGAAGCAAATTTTAGTGAACAGTGAATATTATAAATATTTTATTCAAATGAAAGGTGAACACTTCATTTATAATATCATGAAAATGTTTTTTAAAAATTTAATTTAGAGGAAAAATAATCTTTAATTACGTTGGGATACATTTCAATCTAGTTTAAATACTCTAACAATATAATTGTTTGTTTCGTTTAGCGTAGACATGGATCGATTTCTTTTAAAAATGTATTATTTTGATTTTGAGGTTAGGTCGTTTTTTGCTGTATTTTACCACATAATATAAATCTATTTATGTTTTCAAATAGATAAAAATTTCACTCAAAGTAATGTTATATTCATTGACGTATAAAAGAATATGGTTGTAATTGTATAATTTCAACTATGTTTTAGAGTTGATGGCAAAAAATATATTATTTAAGTGTACGAGATATTTTTTTGTAATATTACGAAACTTTTAAAATTTAATTAAAAAAAGACAATTTATGTTACTTCAAAGTAATATTAAAATTTAATATTTCAAGTTATTTTTCAAAGAATTTAATTTTGCATTACCGGAGTAAATTGTTCTGAATTATTTAAATGAATACAATACATTTCGTATTTCGAATTGTTTTGTTAGAAAGCATTTAGATGAATATTTGCTTATTGAGATTGACTTTTATTTTTTCAAAGTTATCTTTAAAATTGCGACATAAAAGTTTTAAAAGTAAATTTTATCAGAAATTTAATTTAATTAATAAATCTTTACTTTTTTGCTACTTCTACTGTCATCCGTTGGATACATTCTATTTCGACCAAAAGTTTCAGTCGTCACAGGAGCTACTGGAGGTGCTGATGCTGGCGGGGGAGGTGGTATTGATGATGTTAGTAATGGTATTGTTCCGGTCTCGGGAACGGCATATTCGTAGGCTGAATCTATGAATTAAATGTTTATGCATTAATACAAATCAATTCTATACGTTATAAGTATTCATTTTAAATCAGATAGTATTTTATAATAGAAACGTATCTTATTTGGCTAAATTAACATGATTATAAATTAGTTGGGTTAATAGAAATGGGTACATGTCAACTATTTCAATAATTATATCACGAGTTACACAATTTTTATAATTGATAAAAAAAAAATATGAACTTTATATTTTACCTGAATCAATATTTCGGCCAACCACGACTGTGCTGTAACTATAGAATGGTGTATGTCCATGAAAAGGTTCTTGATATGGTTCAGTATCCAATTGAATTAACCGGTCCATATCATGCAAATGGCCGTTGATCGAATTTGCAGGATGACTTATACCGTGATGACTTATCGAGCTGCCAGTTCCCGCCTCTTTATAACTACCACCTGTTCCACAGCTGCTTCCGGAAGACATACCCGGACATCCGTGACCCGTTGTCAAGGAACTTTTGCCAACCAACGGGCTAGCAAAACATTTTCTCTGTCTATGTCTTGACACGATAAGGAAAATGGCAACAGCTAATAATATTATGACAGCCATTAGCACTCCGATAATGATTGCCATGTACGTCTGATCTTCATCTTTAGCAGTTGAAACTAAAAATTTGAATATATTTTAGTAACTTTTCATACTGTACTGAAAACGTATTTATTTAAATATCATTATACTTGGAAGTTCAGGTTGATGAGAACTTTGATTATTGGAAGTAGTTCCGATTTTTTGAGTAGTGGATTCATTAGATGCCATAAACTCTTCAGAAAAGTTACCTTGTGCTACGTCTAAAAAATAATAAATGTATTATAAATTTTTAAATTTTTTTTACAAATTATTTTAATAAATTGTATTAATATTTTTTTTTTGCTCAATCAATTACAGATATAAAATTTATATTGTCTGTTAAAAGTTTTATTTTTAAATATTATTATTTTTTTTAATTTCACAAAAATTTTAATGCAATTATATATACGCTTAAGTGAACGCCACAATTAATTTTGGCAGAGGTAAAAAGGAATATGTCTGGTGTTATGATACTATGATTGTCTTTTACAGTTAAAAAGCGACGAATTTTCAAGTTAGATTGGATGAGAGACGAAAGAAAAGGGAGAATAGAAGCAATTACGAAGGCTATTGTTTAAAAGCACCTCAAAAACCGCTGCAATTAAGGGTTTTGAAATTTTCATTGTCATTATTACGTTGGTTGAATGAGCGACTTAAAAAGTTCTTAATTAAAAAATTCTTCACTGGATGTTATTAAAACCCTTTCGAACTTTCTATTAGTATAAACTTTCATCGTATTGAATAAACATTACACCACAAAAAATTCTTGAAAACTTGTGTAAAATTATAACAAAAATTGAAATAATTAATATTTATAGAATTCAAACTATAAAAAAAATTTAAATCCCAAATTGGTCTTATGTATTTATTTTTTACTTGTAACCTACACTACATTTTTATTATTGATTTTTTCTATAAAAAGTAAATTAAAATTTCACATTATTGAAAATTAAAATTTTTATTTAACCATTAAATGTGTTATCAAAATTATATTCAGAAAATCTTTTAAGTTTTTAATAAATCCACTTGTTTAAATATTTAATAAGTTCAAAAATAATTTTACTTGTGATAGGTTAAATTGAATTTTATGAAAACATCTTTCTTAAAAATTAGTGGTAGTGAAATATAAGAAAAACTAGTGTGTAATGGGGTTGATATTAAAAAGATTATTATTTTAGACGTTTTAAAATTCTCCCTACCATTACATACATCTGTTTTTTAAGGGTATACTAAAATGAAGCTATTAAAAACATTTAAGACTGATGGGGCTTAGTTAAAGGTAATTGAAATGTGCTTAAGTTTTTAGTCTTAAATTAAGGGGTTGTTTTTGAAAATAGTTTGTACTATTATTAAAAAAAAAATAATTAATGAGTAAATAATTTTAGGAATTACGTAAATTAAAGTATTGATTAAAATTAATGATTGTAGATGAATGAATGAATGTAGATGTATTTTAGTATTAATAATTCTATTATATTTTAATTCTTCAGTTTTTTTGTATACACAAAAATATTGTACACAATATATCAGTAATCTATTGGAAACTGATATATAGGAATATTTATCTAACTGAATGCTTCTTCCCATTTGTTACCGACAATATTATATATTTTTACAAACATATTGCGGGGCTCTGCGATTTTCCCATTACCACTTTTGCCTACTAAAAATGCCCAGGTAAACTATAAATCTTTTTATGCAGAACAACGATAAAAAAATATATTCTTATATTTATATACGTAGGGGAAAACAAAAGAAGAAGGAAAAATGAAAATGAATACGAAACCCTCTTGAGATTTATGTTATATTTTTATATTTTCCCTAACTACTTACTTAACTCCCCTTGTTTAAGAAATGTCGTATATTTCGGTTTCATAAAGCATCATTTTTTAATTTTTAAAGAATTTATCATTTTTCATATAAAAATTATTTATTGAAGCTTAACTGAAAACGTACATTTTTGTTACATTTATTTTATAAACTTTTATCTAGGTACAATTAATCATTGGTAAAGAAATTCATTATATATAATAGATACTACATATATTACATATACTATCTAAGTATATTTTTAAGTTTTCTTGGTATGACTTTGGTTTATTTGTTAGTCTAAATGTATCAACCATAAGCATGTTACTTTATATGCTCTATCAAATTTCAGTTTTTATAACAATTTTTGCTCAATAATTTTTTTTACATTACAAAAGGTATATCATGTTTGCATTTGAAATGTAAAAGAGGGATTCAATGAAGAGTTAGAGGATGAGTTTGCGCAGGTATAAATAAGCATGTTTTCAGTCGGATGCTTTCAATTAATGCACTCGAGTTATTTTTAATACGCTTCAGACCTGACATATCTTTCTCGGTAATATTTATTATTTGATTAAATGCGAGGAAAATCCACAACTCAAAAGTACTACGGATTAAAAAGTCACAGACCACATCAATAAACCCTACAGAAAAATTTAAAAATAACGTACTACTTAAAGAACTAATTTTGTAGGATAAAATATTAGTAGAAAATATATTAATATCTAGCAATAAATGATGTCAGTGTTTATAAACACAAAAATTTTCCGAGAAGGTAAAACTATATATTTAAAATATCATTAACTACAGTTATTAGAAAATGATCTGATACACTTATAGTTAGACTTACCAGAATCAAAAGTAATTTCACTTATCATTATCCATTTTGCTGCAAACGTCAATTTTAGCTTAACAAATTTCCCCACTCTTCTATGTAACTTTATGCTGACATTTCTCGATGTTTCAAATATTCGGTCTTCCATGTAAGTATAAGTTAATGGCTCCGAAGAGTAAATTTTGCCTCCAACACTAAACATGATGCTCGCTTCGGAGAATACCTGAGAATTCAAAAGTTTTTTTTCTGTTAGGTTATGTCAATATATCTTATATTAAAGTTAGAAATAAAGGATGATGGTACTAACAAATTGCTTGAAAATAAACTTATCCCTTGTTTACACACACACACACACACAGATTTTGTAAGACAATTTCTAGTTTGCAGAGATAATACTTTTTATACCAACTCGAGTCGTCTAGGGAATAGAAATTCTTCCATTTTTATAAATATAAATATCTATCTACTTATGTGTGGTAACACGACAATTCTCCAGAAACATATATTTACCTCATTTCCCCCGTGTCAATCAATAACTTTAGGGTAAGGGAAAATAAACTGAGAATCGACAATAAACACAACGAGTTCTGTTGGAGTCCACGCGAGAAGTGCAATCCTCGAGTATACAGTGATTTACTAGACATGTATATCCTATCCGTGCTAATAGACGACAGCGGCGTAAGTTTTATTCTTGTATCAAGGCTTTATGGAACGGTCTTAGTTAATGTTACACATGAATCTTCATTACCGGCGGACACGGTGTCAACACATCGGTGAAGATTTAGTATCGTCCGGGTGTCATTGGTTAAAATACTGTTAAAATAATACGTAAATCACTTGCCCGGATTTATAATTCCTTTTGTTAGGACAAAGTTTTTAAAATAAATAAATATTTATATCATTATGTTTTACAAATCAGCTTAACTCATCCTACGTCGAACAACGGCACGTTTCGTAAGCGATTTTGAGATTCTAACATTATGTGTAATATGTCGAAATTAAACAAATTAGTAGAAATTGTTTCCTAAAAGTTGTCAAAAATAATTTGACAATAAATTTAACTTCATAAATTATAATTATTGTAATGTCGTATTGTATGTTCAATTTTTTGTGTACATTCTACTGAATATTATTTACTTTGATTTTTAATTATTGGAAATGTAAAAGTCAGGTAGTTAAAAGTGAGTATTTCTTGATGGCAATATATTTTTAATAAAAGCTGTCAAAATTAACTTTTCTCAAAATTAAAAAGCACTTTAATAAAACAGCTTTTTATTAAAATTTACGAAGTGTGAATAACAAAATGTACACGGAAACTTTTAAGAAATTAGTTTCAAAAGAAAAGTGTGAGTCACGAAGAAAGTATCACAAATCTAGTGTGGTAGGAACGCTGGATGTTTACTTTGGCCTGAAGCCTAAAAAAGTTCAGTAAAATTGTAACGGTAAATGAATAACGCAATTAGAAGGAAAAAACTTTTACTACTCTTTTTGTTGTCGATGAGAAATGGCTGAGTTGATGTTACAACAAAAACAAGACTAGCTTTAACAAGCTACGTACAACTTTCATAATTGGCAACAACCTCACCGAATACATTTATATTGATAGTTAAAAGTTAAGTATAATAAATTGTAAGACCACTGATTCAGAATATTTATTGATATGCGCACAATATTATATATATATATATATAGTTATTGATTTATTGTAAACGAGTAATTTACTTATAAAAATTCTAATTATTTGTCGATTATACTGAGATGAAAGACAAAGTTATATTATAACAGTGATAACTGTTTGGAATTGAATATTTTTTTATATGTGAATTGACAACTAGTAAATTATCAAAACTAGTTATGCAATTATAACGATCTACGAGCAGTTAATAAATCAATAATTTTAACGTGAGGAAGGACTAGTGATAGCAACATGCTGTAATTATATATTTTTGTCTAGTTTAATGAGTTGGGAAAATGAGTTTTTTATTCTTGAGGTCAATGAGCGGGGGATATGTGTGCTACGTTTTACGGCAAAACAATGGTTTCTATATAACACGTGTAAGTATAACAGAACAGATTGTTATCGGTTAATTATTGTAAAAACCCCTTGTAAAACAACTCAATAATGTTCATGACCAACTCGTTCCCGCCTTACAATATTTTATTTTGAAAGTATGAAAATCATCTGCACGACTGTAACTTTTATGTAACAGGACAATCTTCAGTAAATGAAAAATCGAAAATACTTGTTTTCTGTTTGCACAGTAAAGGCGATTAATTATTCATCAGATATCAGCAAAAAAATTATTCATAAATTATTTTCTGTCATCAAAAGACGTTAAATATGCTTTTGTCACATTATTATGATTCATAATATTAATAATTTTAAGAAGCAATCTCAATTTGTTAAAAATATTTCATCTATAATATTGCCTTCTAACTAAACTCAATCATTCTTATAAATAAAATACTGATTATAATCGAATATTCCAAGTAGTTTCCATTTTCGGGCTAGGCAACGATTAATAATTAAGTTATAATAATGTAAGCAAATTATCTGGCGTCGAAACTCAAAGGGAACAGTTTAATTTTTTGGTTAATCTAATTAAATACCAATCAATCAATCAAGTCAATTAGTTGTTAAACTGATTTAGAAATAAATAATCTAGTTATTACAAAATTAGTTTTTCAATGTGCTTATTTTTGTCTTACTTGGACATCTTTTTGAAACTGATTGTTACAATAAATGTGCACTGCAGTAAATTCTCGAATCTTGTCGAATTCAAATTTGATTTCTATTGGTTGTCCATTTCTTGTATCGTTTCTCCAGCCAACCCATCCTTGGCCTGTAAGATCATGAAAAATTACTTTATTAATAGTCTAATAGAGCGAAATTTATTATGACAATAAAAAATATAACGTGAAAACTTGAGATTGGAAGTTTTGATTATGATGTAATAGTATACATATATGATACTAATAAGTGGAATTTTGTAGTAGGTGGTTTACCGTTTGCTGTGGTCCATTAGACACAATGGACAACAATGTTGTTAAAAAAAGCTACTTCGACCACAAGTACGGTAATAAGTAGTCCCTTTTATCCCGAAAAAAGCTTTTATTGAATTATTCATGAAAAACTAGAAAACACTTTGAAAATATAACGATTGCAGTTTATGTACAATGTTAACACTAACTTCGAAAACTTATCCCATGAATATATTTTGCATGAAAAATAAGAATACCCTGGCATATACATAACTTTGTTTTTTTTAATATATTAAGTATTTAAAAAATTATACAATAAAAAATAGTTATTTTTTATTTTGAGTATTGAGATAGCAACAAGTAATACCTTTTTCAGTGTCATAGTATCCCATTCTAAAGTTATCTGGTCCAACTCTGCCGTCTGTTAATTGGCCTAAACCTCTTTGAAGTTCATCGTTCCAATAGCCGTCATAAGTGGAATCATAGAATTCCCATTCAGCACTACGTTTGTCTCCTTGAGGCATACTGTAGCTGAGAATACCATCTAAAATTAATTGTTTATTAAAAAGTGAACAATTTAAATTAATAGGCTTTGATTCAGCGAAACCAACCTGTCCATGGACATCCGTAGAGTTCTACTCGCATGCACACCTGGCGGGTGTGGTAACTATATGGCAAGAATCTAATTTTTGACGCCCATATTGGAGGATTTAATTCTTGTTTATGCTCCAAGTACGTGTTGATGTTTCCGATAAGTATCTGGAAAAAAAATCATATTAGAACATGTCATAATGATAAAATGTGAACATTATGTAAATATCGCGGTTTAATATTTTAACAATGATAATATTTTATTATTTATGATTAAAAATATTATTTTTAGATGAGCTCAATGGTGATAAATCATTCAAAAGAAAGTTGTAATCAATATCAAAAGAAATCGTGTGATTGAGTGCTTCAAAAGAGCGACGAAGTATAAAATTAAAATACATTAAAAAGTTACTAACTTTATTTTGCTTTATAGGAAAAAAATATTAATTTACGAGAATTATTTATTTGAGTTTTGGTACATTGTAAAAAGTTCTACAAAGTTTACACTGACTATGCTTTGCATAATTTATAAGAAGATTAAAAAAATGAACTTTGGCTTATTGATCTAATATACCTATTTTCATTACTTTTACTATGCTGTAAATAAGGAATATCATTTGTTTTATTTTGTAAGAGTTTCAATAAAAAAGGATCAATAGAAAAGAAACCTTATGTGCACAATCAAACCATCAAATTAATTATTTAGTTTTAAAATAATTAAACAAAGAAAGTTTAATTTATTCTATTTATATATAATAACAATGTTTAAATAATAAATAAGTTTCCATTAAAAGCTATTAAGAGGTACGTCTTAAAGAAAAACATTTGGGTAATGTTTTCTTTTCTGTTGCCAAGTTTATCGTTCTATATACAGCGAACAATAATTATATAAAAGAGGAAAGTAAAAAATAAAAAAGCAGAGATACATGTATAAAATTGTATTTACATTTGAATGACCAACTTTAACACATAATAATATTGAGTACAACTGCAAGACAATACCTTCTTACTTGCATTGCACTCGACTATTATAATGCCATAGAGTGGGCGCCACTGGCTGACTCTTAGTGAAATAAAAATATAGAAAATACATTACTGACCTATTTTATTTTTATTTATAACATAAAATTTGTTTTGTTTCATAGATATGGACAGATAATTTCAAACAAGATATGTCGTGATAATACATAACAATAATAAATAATTGCAAAATCGCCTTCTGGCAATGATTATTATATTTATTTATAATATCAGGATGAATTGTTTATTAAACGAGTACATCTGTTACAGTTTTGTATTTTGTACAGTGATTTATTAGTACCGCATCACTTGCTATTTTATAGTTTACAACGAAAAGCTACTCATATTCTCGCCAATGCGACTGCGACTCTCAGAGTAACCCATTAAATAAAAATAATAATTACTCAAGGCTTTATGAATTATTTTCCGGGCAGGATCCGGGCAGTAGTGGATCTATTCCATCAGTGGTAGAAATTACCGACGGACTGGCAATAAAACACGATAAAATTAGCTAAGTCTCGGCAAGCAGCTCTTCCATATCACCAGATGTTACTCTTGCATGATTTAAATACAACGCAGTCTCTTCCGTCTAGTTTAAAATTTAAGTTTTAACAACCTAAGAAAGCCACGCATAAGATGCATCAAAATCCTGTTTTTTAGATTTTTCCACATAAATCCAAATGTAGCAGCGTTTTGGTTTCTATATCATATCGAGATGACTAATGATCAAAATATAGTCAAAACATTTGATTAAAAAAATCATGAGAAACAAAAGATCTGACTTGATGAATATTCATTGCAATCAAGGAAGACTTCATTTTTTTTTTTAGCAAATTACCATCACAAAAGAAATGTTCAGACGCTGCAATGGTACTTGATCTTTTGTTAAAATCAAAGCAACGTCGTTGTGAAGAGCATGAGATCGTTTAAAATAGGTATGTTTGAGAGTCGGGTCGTGACGATCTCACGGCGATGTTCATCTCGACCGGTTGACAATATTGTTATTTTGGGAATTTTTTTTAATTGTGATATATAGTCGGCAGAAATAAAACAATAAAGAAAATATCTAGGTGGGTGGCCTTCGCTGGGATTGTCGGACGTAAAACTTATAAGGTAGTTTAATAAGCTCTAAGTCGCTATATACATCACATAAAACTTTTAATTGGACTAATATACCAATACAAGCTAATCAAACACAAAGTTTAATCGGGAATAAATTATTTTCACGAAGTTAATATGGACTTAAAGGTTGGTACATAATTGTTTTCGATTAGTTATACCAACAAACTTAGTTCATCATTTACATACAACAATTACAAAATCAAAGGATTACGCACAAATTTACTGGTAGTCTTTTAAATCTCCAAAATTTTTTAAACTATGCATACACAACATCAATATGCTTATGGTAGTAACTTTAAGGCAAAAGTTTTTTCATATGATAATACCTCATTTGTGTAATAATGAAATAGTGTTTTTTCGATAATTTTTAAGATATGTAGAAACCGCAATATATTTTTGATATTCATATCAAACCAACAGATAACGATATACACATTTTATACAGATTCTATACAGATTCTATAGATCAAAGGTTTAAACAATAGTAAAATGAGTATAAATTATTAAAATTTATTAAAAAGACTAATGAAAAAATATATTATGTTATAAATGTGATTAAAATAAATTCAAAAATAATTACGGATAAAAAAAAACTTAAATATTTAATTTAGTAGCATCATTTAATAAGTAAAGAGTAGATTAATAATGATTCTTATATGTACACTAATAAATAAGTTTGAATAAAAATAAATATTTTATTGTAATAGAAAGTGCTCAGGGTAAAATATTGAGTGTTCTGTAGATAGACTTTAGACAATAGACTTTAGACAATAGACTTTTATTGTTTTCATTGATTGTAACACTAGACCCGTTTCCTTATTTTTTGAACACTCTGTTTAATAAAAAATGAAAAAATAGTTGAATAGCGAATCAACCTAATATAAATCATTTTATTCAGCTTTTAATGTTTTTAATTATTGTTTGATAGTTTGTATGAATTAAACAAAATAGTCCCTATAAGCTGCTTAAATGCTCTTTAATATTGTAAAAACAATGAATAATTCTAAGCTGATTTAAATAATATAACTAGGCTAACAAAGACGAAAACTGTGACATTAAGTAAACAATTTAAGCACTTAATGTAGTTAAAGTGTCTTAATGAGCTTATAAACGGTTGTTTCAACTACGTTACAATGTTATACACCCCCATGGGTAACGGAGCGGTTCTAAATCCACCTACACTATTAATTACAGATGATGATATTAATGAAAAATATAGTTTTTTATAAATAATATTAATGTTTTTCAAACTAAATACTTTAAAAAATTAGTAATGTGATATTTAAAATTAATTTTGAAAAAATTCAATCATGCCAAGAAAAATTTTCTTTTAAAAATTAGGTAAAGCAGTAAAATAAAATTAATAATAAAGTCACAATAAGTAAAAACTTTTGAATGCGTGCAAAATATAAATAGACTATTAAAATTTGTTTTGATAAGGAATAGTAAAAAAATAATTAAGTTGACCATTAAATATCTTATTTATTTAAATAACGTTTAAAATATATTTTGAAAATTTAATTTTAAACATTTTTTTGTATCATAAGACGTATGTTTATTTATAAACTTGATAACAAAAAATAACATTTATTCAAAGTTTTTAATTTATTTTGCTTGTAGTAGAAATTTACATTAATTCTAGAAGCTAAATTTGAATGTTTAAAAGTTTTAAAGGAGAACCTGTAGATTTAAATGAATATAAATACTAAGGAAATATTAATTACTTAAAATTTGTGTAAAACAGTAAAATTGAAAAACTTTTATGGAAACAAGTTTAATTAATCAAATAGCTAACAGCATAATATGAAATATCGTAGTAAATATCTTGGAACATTTAATGATTAAATGTTTTTTATTGTAAATATATTCTTTATAAAACAATCCAAGTCAAAGTAATACGTGTAAAAAGAAAACCTTATTCCAGAAAAATATTTTTTATTGAAATATAAGTTATTTTGTAGGTTAATTAAAACTTTTTTGTTAAGTAAATACAAAAACCCTTTTATCAATTAATTATTTTAACTATATTGCAAAGCTGAGCAGGTATTAATTTTACCATGATGTATTTAAATATATATTTACTTTTGTTTCTTACTATTTTTCCTTAGTTGTTTTAGGATCGATTATTTTCATTGATATATCAAAAGATCACAAATAGTATTTAGTTTTAATACATTACTTTCAAAAATTGAAAATTTTTTACTTATTCCTCGTAAATGAAGAAAATTACGATTTTTAAAATGGATAAATTTCGATATTTTTAAAATTTGTTAAAAGTTTTTGAACAATGGTCAAATTAAAAATAACTTTTTTTATAAATACGTCAGGTAATTTGCCACAATAGGTAAAACTATACCACGTCCCCACTGTGACGCAACTTTTATTTTTTTTAACTGTAATTCGAACTATTGTTAAGTATTATACAATTATTTTTATGATTATGGAATGCATTAATGATTTTTAAGTTGATTAAAATGTGTTTTTGAAAAACCATTTGAATTCGTTAGCTATTATGATTGATACAGTTTTATAATTATTTTATACTATTTTTGGTAATGAAGTTCTATGACAGATCCATATAAAAATAAACAAGCTTGTTTTGAATATGATCATTAATCAATGATAGGCTGTTACTTATAATGAAATGAATGTGGTAAAAAAAACTTAGTGAAAGCGGATGATAGTGGGTGTTAATATAATGAGTTCGATAAAGAATTCTAGAAAAATATGTGATTGAACAGATTCTAGAGTAATGATTCTGTTGATTTCTTTCACTTACGAGTATCAAAGTGGTGACAATTGCACTTTATTATAGTAGTACAATAATAATAATGTTACTTTCCTTTTCTTATAGTCAATTCGAACTAAAAAAAGCTGCATAATTCATAATATTTTTTTATTTAAAGATTTCATAGAAAATATTCTATATACTTCAATTGATTAAATTTATATTTGGCACAAATATGATATGCAAAGGTGACGTTTAAATATTGAAATTTATATCTAATAGGTTCAAAACATTAATTAATCGAGAATGATATAATTCAATTAGACTTAACGAAACAAAATTTTCTTTGAGCAATCACTCCATGGTTGATAAGTAAATTGGGATGTATATGTGTAAAAAACCTTTTATATGTTTGAAACATTAACACCGTTATAACAACAGTTTCCCCTAAAATAAAACGACTCAAGAACATTTTTTTATTTCTTAAAAGTCTACAGGGAATATGAAAATTTCCAATGAGAATTAAAAATATGTCAAAATAAGTTAATTATTTAACAAAAACTTTTTTAATCAAATATATGTGAGAATTCAATAAGAACTAATTAGCAGAAAAAAACTATAACTAAAAAATACATGTTCAAATATTTATGGGATTGTATTTGTTATATTTAGTTATTGTCATATTTTTATATGATGACTATTAAATCAACTGAGCCGAATAAAGCCTATGGTGCATAATTCATAGTATGCACTATTGTTTACCAATGTAAAAAATACACATAAATTTAAGTTATACAAGTTTTACATCTATAATAATAGAAAATTTTAAAAATCGGAGAACAATTTTGCTACTATATGACTCAACAAATTTAAATTTAGTTATTTGCTGTCTTATAATAATTATTTCTTAAGTAAGCTTAGTTTTGGTGAAAATATAATGAGCAATTATTTGAAAAATTACCTCATGCCCAGTCATATTCCTATACCGAACCCATTTGCCAAGTTTTGGTCTCCAGTAATCGATTAAAAATGCTTCGCTGAACTCTTGCCCTTGGCCATTTCCAAATCTACCTTGAGTTTCAACTGAAGTAATCACCCGGACTACGTGTAAATTGACTTCGAGCCATTCTGTAGGTTCTCTGGTGACCGGTTCTTTAGGACACCAAGCACCACCTTCTCTCTCTGTACGTACCCTGAAATAAATAATAATAATATCTTAAAATTATGATCATTAAAAGGGTGACCTAGATTTGTGGATATAGAGGCTAAAAATGTCAAAAGGATTTTTGCCTTTATCTGTAAAAAGTCAACTACTGACATTATAATAATCCACTTAGTCGTTTTATAACATTATGTTATAAGTAGTATAAACTTCGAAAAAAACCATTCTGTTAATGTGGTCATATTTTTGGAACCTAAACTTTGTACGTGACTAACATTTAAATAAATAAAAGCTAAGGACTGGTTTTTGATATACCCAGTTATATTCAGTTGTTGATGAATTAATTAGAGTAGATGGATAATGATCGCGAGTACCAATTAAGTTTTCGTCGTGTAAATTTTATGGCAAGTATTTATCAATTAATTTTGATAAAGCTATAAAAATGAAAAAGTATCCTATCTGTGTTTGGCAAGTTAAACGATATGACTGATTAAATAATGATAGCTTTAATTGGAATTTACATTATTTATATCTATTTAGTGTTTTTAATTAAACAGTATTATTTCTAAAAGTGAATCATAAAATACTTGCAACTATTCTGTTATCAAAAAAATTATTTTGAATATTGTTAAAAATACCAAAAATTTTGCTAATAGCTTAATGAAAAAGGACATGTTATGTTATTTTCTTTTATGTATATTGATAAATTCAAAAACTAGTTCTACAATATAGAAGTACTAATTTTAAATATTAAATAAAACGTTATATTTTAAAAAGTAGTAAAAGCTGATAAAATATTAATTATTATTAACAAATTGAATTTAAGACATTTTGAATTTGAAAATTTTGCCACAGAAAATAAAACTATTATTAATGATAAAAATAGATTAATGGAAGTTTATATTTTTATATTATTTCAATCAGTTTTTAAGGGTAAAGTACATTTTTTAGATTTATTACCTCACGGGTGAGTGATGAAAAGCTTTTATACACCTTGGAGTTAAAGGAAAATCACAATTCTAACCATATAAAAAATGTTTTCTACTATGAAATTCTTTCGATCCTCTCAATCCATTTACTATTAACTGGCTGTTAAACTTCACATGTGCGAAGATTGTTGAATATCCTGTATTATTTTTTACGATAAGTAAGTCGAATGTTGGAAACAGTGGTGGGTCTGAAAGTAAGAAAAAAACCTAAAGCTTTATAAACGCTTAAAGGCGACAACAATCGGTCTGTTCAAAATTAAGTCCCCCTTCCAGGCATTTTGCCTCTCAATCCCATACAAAGCCTGGCTTAAGAAAACCGACCGACCGTAAAGCTGATTTTTTTCAAGAGTAGACTTCTTTTTATCCTTTTTATATACCTACAATACAGTATATACAACTGATGGCTGAAATACTTTTTCTTTCACTCCGGTTTGAAAGGCACAACCGAATAATGGTGTGAGCAGAAGTGGACCCTTGAGGAGAGGGACATTTACCTACGTTTTCTTAATGCAAGCGGACTTTTAAAAGCTCAACAAATAGCCATGATCAACATGGGACGTGGTATTAAAATGGAAAGTTTTATTTACTGTGTATAAATGAACTGCTAAGTGAATATACTAAAGAGTATCACATTTATGTCTTTGATGGCATAATCAACAAGATATTAACCATATCAATATTTTTTTGTAATTCACATATATTTATGCACATTTTTAAGACGATAAGGATTACATACATTGTACTACTCTAGGAAGGATGAAACATAATCATTTGTTATACGACCAAAGATGCTTATAATCAATGAGTTAATTAAAATCGTTAGTAGAAGATAGCCAAAACGGATTGACAACCATATTTTGTTAGTCACACAACACCACGCTTCTTTATATTTTTTTTATAAACCGCTAGGGTCGTCCTCCCCAAAAATAATAACAAAAACGTGGATGGCAAATTAACTTGGGCGTTTTTGTTGGCATCATTCGCTGGCAACTTTAAATAGAGACATTCAATCATATGCGTAATTACAATTGCGCATTAAACAGCTACTTAGGTTAACAATTTTTTATAACATGAAAGCTAAATAAAAGTAACGAAATTAACCATATGTAAAACAATTATTTTAATATCAGTAGGTATTTTTTAAGAAAACTGTGTTGTTTGAATCTAGATCAGATAATAGCACTTAGCATCTCTACTTTTTTATTCTAATTTAAATGAAATATAATGAGTTTTATTTATTTTGAGTGTTTTGTTCGGTGAGAATTACTTAAAGTAGAACTATTTTTGTGTGACTGTTACCGGAGATAATTTCTTTTAGCTAAGTAATCAAGTTGTGGTACTGATTACACTAAAGAGAATGATTTAATTCTTATAGGATTTTTAAAATATATAATAAAAACCCGGTATTTTTTGTTTATGTTATCAATGTCATTAGTACGTAAGAAAAATTATGTGATAAACAAATGTGTTTTTATATAGAGAACAGACCAAAAATTTGAATTTGTCGATTTTAAAAATAGACGTCACACAATTGGTTAAAAGTGGTCAATAGATTTATACCTAAATTCTTTTATAGATTTTTGTTCAAAAATCAGATCAGTTAGCACAGAAAATAAAGTCCCTTAGACAAAAAGGCGCAGAAGAATAAAATATAGTCGATAAAATGACAAAACAAATTGTTATCCGAGGTTAATGCTAGCTAGCTAAACGTGACCTGAGTTCATTAAAGTTTTTGTAATCACAGAAACCTATTGGGCAAAATTTAAACGGATTGTAGTGGAAAATTAGATACAAGCAACTGTGCACGGAATTTTCAGTGTTACTTGAGTGTAAAGATTTGACATAAATACGGCAGAAAATAGGTCTAATGTTAAATGGATATGGTATGTAACTTGTTAGGTAAAAAGTTAACAAATGTTCTTAACGCAATTTTATATGCCTCACAGTAAAAAGTTTTTTAAACTCTTGCGACAGATATTCTAGACCATTTTCATATTGGTTAATATGATCATCGTGGTATTTCCTCCGGGAAGACAATAAAAAGTAAAAATAAAAATACTAACTTTTCACAGTAAATATTTTATATAGGTTTTTAGCGTATGTGGTTGAAAAAGTTTCAAGACGTATTTTTTATCCACCGACTATCAACCATAGTTTTTGTAACCTTAAAACTTTTGTTCTTCCGTCAAAATCTCGGGCGTCAAAACTATTTCCTTACATTTTTTATGACATCTTGAAGTGTTCAATATTTTATGAAATGCATTTTAGACAAAAGTGTACAAGGAAATGTCATCTCCTTATCACTTGAATAACTTTTTTGGTTATTTTTATATCAATTTTGCATTGATTGTAAATAAAAAAAGGAAGAAAATTTTCTAAAAGATTTGATGAATCGGTTTTTATAGTTCAAAGTAGTTCATTATTTTACTATAGAGTATGTAATTATATAATTTATTCTAGTAGCTTAAAAAATTAAAGAAACCCAGAAAAATTAAAGAAAATCTTTAATAATAATGAAAAACATAAAAATTGCTTGTTTTTATATCACTGAATCGTAAAATTAAATAAAATAGAGTAGGACTAGACAAAAATATCTATGTAAGTAAGCATTTAAACGTATATATAAAAAAATATGTAAAATTTTTTTCTTATTTCTTGTCTGTTCTTACTTCATATAGAAATAATGCATATGACAACCAGTAATATTAATTCGTTGAAATTTCTACACATTTAACGGCTCTATGTGCATGATGATATCAAGTAAAATAAAATATTGAGTTTCTTATGTTTAAAAATGTATATCATGATAAATAACAATTTGTAATGTACACTGTAATATAATAACAGAATTGCGATAAAAATAAATCCCACGTGCCCGTCGTTGTACTTTTGTATGGGACGACAATGATGACTAAAAAAAAATCATATATTATAATACAGAAATTCAAAACCTCTGGATTAGATATTTGTCACGTAGTCAAAACTGTTGAATTAAAGTTGGTGAGTTACTATATTTTCAGATGAAATTGCTGAAGCTGCTGTATCTTAAGTTATTTTACGGTCCGGTAAATATCGCAATTGTTAAAGATTATAATGCGCTTCGTAGAAAATTTCAAAAGATCCTACATGGACAGAAGTAAACATTAGAAAAATCGAGGGAAATAAATTAAAGCAGCCTTTGAGTACCGTTTAACAACGTATAAGTTTTCCTTAAAATTTGTTTGCTCTTATATGCTTAAGTACAAAAGAAGTTCAATAATTGTTCTTTTCTGTAATTATGATAATAAGTATAAACACATTGAAGTTAATGCTTCGAACACCGCTAGTATTATTTCAATATTTAATACTATTTAAAGCAGTTCTATATATGGAGTAAAATATGTAAACTATAAATGTATTATTTTTTGGCACAAATACAACGTATGACTAAAAAATAAATAACTCAAACGTGACAAGCAAAATAACGTGATAAATAGATTCTTTTTTAAATTACAGAGAAAATACAAAAATATAGTGCTTCTGTTTAGGTAATAACAGAGAAAAATAAAATACATAAAAACAAGGGTGAGATTTATATTATTATATACATTAATATTTAAAAGAAAAAATGAAATATGTCAGTTTTTAGAAAAATAATTGTTGAATATAATTTTTCAGTATGAGTTTCGACATTGAAAATATTTATGGAAAAAAATAGTATTTGTTATAAAGTCAAAATTATTTTACTACTTTTACTTTTACTAAGTTATAATCTTTGCAGCATTATTGTTTTATATTTTCATTAAATATTATAGTTATGACTTTTGGTTAAATTTCTATTAAAAGTTATAAGCCTTGTAACACGCATTGGTACAAAACGTCATAAACTCTTCTTAGATTGCGTTACATGACTTTTATACATAAAACTGAATGCTTTATCGACTTTTGTACGTGTTGCGTTTAATTTAGAAACATATACTTCAATGGTAACTTTGTTAGTTATTATTGTTTTCACAGAAAATCCATTTGTAAAACTTTTAATCCATCTCCGTTCTAACATATGGAAACCAATTGGAACGTCAAACGCAAGTTCCAATTAACGAGTTCTTTGGGCATTAGTGGTCAAAGTTCAAAATAAGGGGGTAAACCCTGTTGTTTATTAAATCCAGTCTAAAAGCACAAGCCCTCGGGTACTGTTTTGTTCGCACCAATTCCTTTCTAACCGCTAAACTACCATTTGTTGTGCGAAGGTTTGGTCAAAACGAAAAGCCCAAGAGGAAAATCTACATTTATTCTAAAAGCTTACTGCAGTACCTTTAAGTACACAGAGTCATAGATGAATTATATTATGCAGATTATAATTACTAAAAAATGATTTTTTTAATGTTTAAAAGGGAAAAAATTATTTTATATTTTTTAAAAATTGTTAATACTATATTACATTTATGGTGTCATGGGTGATGACAGTTGAATATTCTGGTTTTTTGTCAGAACCTAACTACTGGACTATTAGTTTATCATCAATCATTCGATTACTCGCAAAATAAAAGCAATATTAGAAAATAAAGTTTGATTTCTATTAGTAACATATAATTCTTGATTTATCACCTAATAATTACTTTTTAGAATCATCCTTTATTACTTAAAGTACTTTAAGTAATAAGGACAGTACAGTACTTTGGAAGTTAATTTTATTTTTATACCTAGGCTGGACAAAGATTACGGTCGAGAAACGATTAGTGATAAAAATAGTAGCACCAATTCTTCACCTCCAGACATAACTTTAAATTGTTGATAAATTCTGGAATACTGTTTTAAAATTTGTTACCGATCAGTCATTTTTTTAACTAGATAATTTTCTAAGTTAGTTAAATATGTATGTTGCCATTAAAAAAAAAACAAAGTTGATACCCCTTTAGGTAATAAGGGATGATTCTAAAAGTAACTATTAGCTGATAAATTAAGAAATATATGTAACTAAAAATTGAAATAAAATGTCTACTGGAAGAAACTTACCTTGCATTTTGTGGTCCAACGTTACCAATTTCAAAAGAAGAGCTGGCAGATAAATCTTCGTCTCTTATCGCACCTGATTGCATACCAAGAGCTGACATACATTGAGCTGAAAAATAAAAACATTTTAGCTACAATATTGTTATTTGGTAAATGATATAAATTTTATTCTTGACTGTAATTTAAAATAGTTTAGATATCTTTATTTTAAGAGTTTCTAATATATGGCAACATTCAAAATAAACTTAAAGCAATATTCGATTGAGTATAAAAGTTATTACAAGTTTAAGAATTATATTGGAAATCGAACTCTAATTAGATTTTTAAAATAGATATGCTTTCAAACGACAAAAGCACCTGTGTGCACTTTTTCGGTTTTGACTTAGTCTTTATACTATAGTGTGGTAACATTATAGAAACGCATATGAGTAGCTAAAGTGTATATCCGTTATCTAAACTACGTGCTTCTACCAATACTGCCATTTCGTTTGGAAAGTTGAGAAAAGTTTTACACAGTATAAAAATAAACTGTCATTATTTGGAATACAGATAAACACAAAACATTTGAAAATATACAAAGTATTTTACCACAAATGGTTTAACCGACTAAATCAATAGAACGAGACATTTTACAGAAGAGAAATCACAACACATGTAAAATATTTCCACGGAGATTTAAGGGAACAATTGAATAATGGTCACTTGGATTGTATTATTTACATAATAAATTTACCAGCAGTCTGATTGAAAATAATATTTTTATAATCTTATATTATTAATATTATTATTATTATTTAATAAGTTGTTATGTAATATTAAAGAAGTACAAAATCATAAAAGTTAATTTTTAAAAAAATTATGTTTTACATTTTGGTCAGCAAAATGATTTATTAGAAAGTTTAAACAAATATTTTTTGAAAATGTACAATACGTTAATGGTAACCCTTAATCAACAAAAGTATTATGATAACAGCCATTATAATGTCAAAAGCACATATTTTATATTATTTGTCTTTAATAAAAATATATATGTAAATATATAATTTTTTTTAAATTTCAAAACAGTAATGTCTTAACCCTTTTCTCATAAAACAACTTTACAGTGGGATAACAACTTTAGGATACGTTCTAATTGTGTTACAAGCATTTTAACACGTAGAGTGGGTATGCAGTACAAGTAGAGTGCACATACACCAGTACGAGCTCTATCACCCACACTACATACCCATTAAAATGCTTGTAACACAATAATTACGTATCCTAAAGTTGTTATCGACTTATCAAAACTTTTTGTGAGAAAAGTACTAAAAATGATTGTTTCGAAATTAAAAAAAAATTATTATTCTTTTTTTTATTAAAGACAAATAATAAAAAATGTGCATTTAACATAATCCAAAACAATAAAAATTATTTTTAAAAAAAGTAACTCAAAATATTCACTGTATAATCAATACTTCATATATGAATATTGAAAACCGACTGAGTTTTCATCATATAAGTATTTCAGAGACAAAAGAATATACTCTTTAAATTAATCTACAATGAGGTTTTGTCCATATTTTGGTCACTAGTGAATGTGTCGAGATACGACTTCTATTTCACTGGTTATTAGATTTGACATCTCTAGAGTATTCACTTCGCTTCATTAAATATGGTTGTTAATTACATGTGGGTCTATATACCTACACCCGAGACTTGCCACTGTTAAGGTTATATCAATATGACATCGACCGGTGGTGGTTACCTAACCACATTATGCACACGTCATAAACTCAATACTCTGATTAATAACAGGCGCATTATTTATCACAAGGTCGGCCAAACTACTATCGCCGAAACAATTCATGAAAGAGAAACAAAAAATTAAGTGTCTTTATACTATGAAAAATAATATCTGCTTTTTACCCATGTTCTAATATTCTCAATCGACATTGTCCTATTGAATTAAAATATAGTGTAATTGTTGGTTTAAATTAAAATTTGATCATTAAAACGTCATTAGGCTCTGATCATAAATCAACTGACGAAAATCGTTTATATACGATATTAGTGTATAATTCACTTGCGTTTTGCTTTCTTCGGTATGATACTGACAAAAAAACGAACAATGGTCCGTGAATGTAATATACATGATTAATTTCAGTAATTGTACAACAGCTTTCGAGTACAATTCACAAAATATGTTTTCGGACCCTAACATGGCTGTTGTTAATTGAATTGCTATGTATTTTACACGCTTAATTACTCTAAACGTATTGTAAATAAAAATTATTACACAGGTTGTGTCTAACTTCTAAAAACGCAAATTATGTTATACAGGCTGATAAATCTCTTTCTACGTAAGAAGTATGCAACAGAATGAATAATTTAATAATGATCGTTTATAAGTTGATCCAATAAGAGATTGTTAAATTCCGTAGGATTGTTCTTCACTTTTGATGGTCTATCAAACATATCATGGCTTAATTCGTTTTTGTGTAGTATGTATTTATTTTACCGATTTGTTGCGCTAAGCAAAAATTCCCCCCGATAGAAGTAACGTTGTTAGTTCAGTTTTTACCGAAAACAAATCCAAATGAGTTCACAGGGTGCGTCATTTACCAACAGTTGTTCATACGGTGAGTTATGGCATGATTTCGAAAAAGAAGTTTACACTTCACCCTATATGTGCACCCTGTTCGGACAACCAAATCCGTTTTCTTTGCAGACGCGTCATTATGCCGAGAGCGAATTTCCGCTTCATTTTGTTTCCAAGACCTTTACTGTTTTTATGCCACCCCTTGAAAAGTCGCAAGATATATTATTTTTTATGTTTTCCCTCGCCTACTATATTTTTGTCGTGATTATTTTCATAGCCATGTTTTTAGGGCTATTATTTTTTTTCGATAAAAGAAATTATTCGGCTGATAATGAGGCTGAGCGTTAACAATATCGCGATTTGTTCCATTAAACATTGAATTTTAAGTCAACGGTTCAAATCCATTACTCTTTCAATCGATTATTGCGAACCAAAGATATTATCATGTCGAGTATACGAAAACAATTGCGGTCTACTTCACATTGTTTAGCTTTCTTAACTATAACGTTCGTAGTTAACGTAACAGAAAATAATGTATCATGTTTTGTCGATAACTTATACAGACATGTGGTTTGCTAGTTAAAATCGACGGACTAATTGGCAGTTCGTTCCAACGCGCACACCGAATACTATGCAATTTTTATTTCTAGTAGAAATTCAAAACACCCTCTCCCGATGCCAATCGTTAAAATATGTAAAGCTATGCGAATGAGGTTCGGTCACGTCAAGATCATAAAAAACAATGTTTTGCACAAAAGAACAAAATGCCTGTGTCATGTTGGTAGTATTATTAGAGACGAGAAAAGAACAATTGTAGGAATGTCTATTCAGATTTACTTCTAGTAATTTATTTTCGTCACTAGTATAACAGCAAACATTGTTAAGCATTGTAGTGTTACCAACAGAGGAGCAGCTGCATAACTTGTACAAAACTCTTTTCAATTCAATAATTTTCAACTTTTTAAGTTTACTTAGGGAACTTAAAAGTTAAACTAAAGTTAAAACAACGAACGGTTCCTTAAAACTATGGGTCGAAGGGACAAAACATATAAAGTGAATTCACGAAAACCGACGAGAATACGGATAAACTGATAACCTGAACCGGATGATAAGACCAACAGGAATTCATAAAATATTGCTCTGAGTTAAGCTTATCAATGACCGGCAGTATTTTGTTCCGGTTAGTTAATCTATTGTTTGCGTATGTTTACTCATGCTAAACTGAGGGTTAATACATACACAAGTGCAAATGCAAACACTCCTAAAAGATTAAACTGCTACAGGGNAGGTTAATACATACACAAGTGCTTATGCAAACACTCCTAAAAGATTAAACTGCTACAGGGTTCATTAAGAACTTGAAAAGGAAATATTTATATAGATAGTGCATACAGGCATTGTCGTTAATCGCAAAGGGAAACGGAGAGAAGTAGAAAATATGATTCATAGGTTCTATGAAGTTAAAAAAATTACAATATCTCATGAAAATCTGAGGAGTTTTAAACTGCATTTGAAATTATTTTAACCATTTCATATAATCAAATTCAGTGTGTCAGATTTATCAAACGGGGGTAGTGACAGAACAATAAAATACATTTCATTAAAATATTCATTTTTGTGAGTTTCGTTCAACTTTAAATTGTTTACAAGCCAACATTTAAAACAGTTTATTAAAATACAGATCAACTTGTTTTTAACGAAACATGTCAATAAGTGAATAAGCAAAAGTGTCAAAAAAAAAATAAATAAATACATTATAGATCTTATTACGGTTTTCTTTTATTGGACTTTTGTTCCATTTAAGTTAATTTTCAATATTTGAGGTACAAACGATTCTTTTCTGTCAACCGTTAATAACGTATTGATTTTTTTTTTTTTGTCGTTTAGTCAAGCGTTAATTAAATATTAATTAATGTTTTCAAATATGACGTCGTTATATAGAAAAGGCGTATCCGAGTGCAGATGTCATAAAGCCCTTAAATGACTTTTGTTTTTATCAAACGGAAATTACACGCACGTGGCAATATTGTAAAGTCGAAACGAAATACTTATCAGATTTGTCGAAAATTAAAGTTGTCAGCGCTCAAAGGGTGAAACGGACGAACGTTTCCGATTAAACACAACTTACGACTGTTTACAAGATAATAGTCTAGTAACACTGTGGACTGCGGTGCATCTGACGTTGAAAAATTGATTCGCCTCCTTCTCCCTTTGTGAGGGAGGAGGTGAACTTGTAATTAGAACAGCTGCGCTTCCATTAATTATCTGACGCATGCATACACTCACAGGTAACTCACATAATAGACGTTTTTCTGCAGAGTTCTTGTGACGTCTCGTTTGGCACTCACCTGCCGCAAGTTTTAATTGGAAACGTTTTTGGGTTTCGTTGCTATTGTACACGAAAGCGAGTAAACTTCCGCCAAACTCAATATGCATGGTTTGCAGTTTTTTTTTGTATACTCAGAAGAATGTAAAGAGCGAAAACCGGTAACGCGTGTCTAAAGACAATCCAAGTCCACCCTTCGTCGGTGTGTTTTAAAACACACCTAACAATTTTCTTTGTATTATAAATCACTGTAGCAATTCTTTACGTAATGTTTTTTAATCACTGATTTACTTTGGCGGAAGTTTAAAGTAATTTACATAATATATTTAATGTTTTTATATTAGAATTTGTTTCAATTATTAAGTGTTTGAAACAAAAAAATAATTAAATTGTGTGGAAGTCGAATTGAAAAATGATTTCCAGCTGTTAAAAAATTACACGAGTGCTCTTGACAGAACATGTCTATATAAAGTGTTCTAAATGTCATTAACATCCCAAACACATTTAATCTGATTAGTCGAGCCAAAACATGTTTGTTAGCCATCTCTTATTAAATAATAGTTACATCAAATATTCTAAAGTAAAGTATTTAAAAGTTGTTTATTTTTAAATGTTTACAACGTTCAGGTTCCAATTACACGATGTGGTTGTAATGTCTTACAACCTTTCTCAAATACTTGTCTTGCCTATATTTTTAACTAATGGACTTACTATTCAAACTACTGTGACAGAAGTGACGATTCTAAGAGTCTTTTAAACTTGTAAAAAAATTGACTCATTTTATTTCAATATTTTTTTAACGCTACTTTTGTGTCGATACGATACATATATTCAAGTTTATATATATATATATATATCTATTATAATACTATTATGTTAATATTTAAAAGTTTGTTAAACATTCATAATTTGGCAAGTACTTACACAAATCTGTCGCATCTGTCCATCTGTATCTTAAAATAATAAACCACAGCCAAATCCAATTAATCGACATCATTGTAGTGCCATTTGTTTCTTTTCTATCTGATTCATAAATGACCTGTAAAAAAAAAAAGTATTAATTTATAATGAAACCTAGTATTATAATATGCTGTTCTATTTTAGGTTTAACTTGATTGTCGAGCTGTATATTTATACAATAAACGCTATAAAAAGTTCTGGGTTCATATAAATTTTTATAATAACGCTTAGTGGTCTATGCCTATGATATTTTAATGCATTCAGAATTCTTATTTTTTTGTTACAGACCTTTTTAATGTAATTTTCATTTTATTAATAACTCGTATTGACCAAAAGGTTTTAATAATGTGCGTTCTCATTGTATTATTACGACATAAAAAGGGAAAGAAAACAAACATTCTATAAAAGGTAAATTAAGGTCAATTACACTCTAAGAAAAAAAAATACAAAACAAAAGCGCTCATTTTATGCTGCATACTCTTTTTTTTCTACATGCTTGAAGTGTATTGTTAAAACAATAACATGGATCTAAGCGTTGTTCCAGGACTTACCGAACCTCTATAATAATATGTAAATAATCCTAGTTTAAATTTTAAATAAAACTCAGCTTTTTAATCACATTCTTTTGTTCGAATATTAATCCTCGTTTAATCATCCTTAGTGCACCCGAAAAAATATTAAATACCTGACACATACTGTACGCTCAAATATTTGTTTAAATATTATTGACGTTTAAAAAGAAATATTTCAATGTATACCTAATAAATCGCGCGTGTTTGGATTCATTAAATACTTGGACGGAATAGACGCGATTATAGAAATTATAATGTGTGTATGATGTGCTTTTAACAATAAAATTACAAGAAGGTATACAGTTATGTTGAGAGGTGTAATAGTGAAAGGAACTAAGACGCTAAATGTTGTTATGAATATCAATCGTCCCGATATGACATACAGAGACGTGTACCTGAACAAGGATTAAAATGTATAAATGATAATAATATCACAATTGTCGGTGTGTTTATAGCGCTGTAATACGAAACCGTTTGTTAACCGGAACGAAAAACGAGTGTTATTTTTTAGGGAATGTTTAATAACACTTTAATTTCGGTTTAATTTTTATCAATAGTGTAACTCGATACGTTTTTGAGACATGATCTGAACTCTTACAAAATAAACGAACTATCGCATTAGAAAGACTATTGAAACGGCCTAATTTAATTGTATTATATTATCAAGTATAGCCTCTGACCTCGCTATTGTGAGCCTCCACGTTAAGGAAACGGTTGCTCGATCAGAATACTCCGATATGAAACGTTAGACCGATCAACTTTGTTACGGCTGTGTTGGGTGTGTACGGTATCATCCGTCGGACAGACGACGGATCGTAATTAGAGAGAGGTATGTCCAGGACACATTGACGAGGTGTTTCCCAATTTTAATAAAAAAAGGATGCCGCTCTTTGTAATTGACGGGTGAAGGCGATCAAAAAAGGATTCAACAAAATTTGATCGGTTTCGTTTATAATAATAATATAGTTATGTGTTATAACACCAGTTTACCACCTGCAATAATTAAACGTTGTAATTATTCTTTTTTGATGCACTCCGTTTGGATGCCGACGGTGTTTTTTTTTTAAATAATTGGAAAACACCTTGACGTATAGATCAAGTGGCGTATAACGATCAATACCCGCAAGGGTTTCAAAGAAAAATACAAAAAAAGACTGCGCCAAGCAAAAGTACATAGAATAGTTAAATGAACATTTAAACGCAACATCGCTTATAAGACAAAGACATTTTTTAAATATTTTCAAATTAGTTTTGTCGTAACTGTGTGTATTTCGAGTTGTATGGATTTTCGTCAAACTATATATATTCTTTATAAGGACCCATTTCCGAATACCAATTAGTATTTTATGTGTAATATTCCCACGTTTATTTGTCTATTGTTTGCTCTAAATGCGGGTGTATTTGGTTTCTCGGACTGCTTTTTGAGTTTTATGGTCGCCGTATCTATTGTAATCTTGTGCTCTGCTCTAGTTTATATAGTTAAAACAAAAATTCTTCAAGTTCTTGAGTTTTTCTGATTGCTGTACGGATAAAAAAGTTGTCTGACACTACAATATTTTTTTTTTTATTAGAAAATAAAAAATTATATATTCTGCCTCTATTAATTTACATTTATTTTAAACCGTTGACAAGATATAAAGATGAACTTAGGTTCATCCGATAAGTTACTCATGAGGAGTTAACGCATAACAGGCGGCACGCGTGGCATCAATATGGCTTCAGGATAATAATATGGAAAACCCGCAGACATGTCGAAGTGTAAGAATCATATTTTAATACTATAGTCTAATGCTGTAATTACTGGATTAATCTGATTGTAGTGTGCATAAGCATAAATAAAACGAGGCTAACACAACTACTGCCCGGGGTAATCACAAGTTGATAAAATGTATAAATACGCATTTTACCAGAACCTATTTATTCCAAGAGGTCAGAGTAAAGTAAAACCAGTATATCTAGTGTTTTCATTTGTATTTGTAGTATGGTGAAGTGTCCTATAAGAAATTCATTAAGAAATTACAACTAAATCAAAGTATTTGATACACGTTAGTGTAAAATATAACATTGTTTTTCGACTTTTTTAAATGAAATCAATCTCAATATCTAAGTGTGGTAATTTTTTTTTTATCACCTTTTTTACATTTGATCAGTCATAAAAACATATATCTTTGGGGTTGAGAGGAGTCGTAAATCTACGCCTTCGTACGTATTGATTATTAGAAGAAGCCGTTTTTTTAGAACATCGTTCTCAACCCACGATTAATATTTTATAGATAAAAGTATTTTTAAGAAGTGAGCTGAAAAAACACGAATTCACATAGTCCCGACGGGGTGCAATCTTTGCGGCTTTAATGATTTATCCGTCTGACCATTCAGATTTTATGTCAATAGAACGGAATGAGCGAAAACGCGTGTAACAGACGACCGCACCATAATCAGTGCTCTTTAATGAACCTACATGAAACAAATGGGTATTTGCCTTGATGGTAATGAAGTTGACGATGTAGTTTTGAGTCTCCCGCAATATTCGTAAATGCAGAATTTTTAAGAGTGTATTACGATTTGCATCACTAAGTTCAACGGGTAATTACAATTTGTTCAGAATTTCAAAAATACATGTCTTAAAGCCAGTCAGTGCTTCAATTGGTCGGTGCTGGGTTGTCTAACATCGGGTCAGGTTCCTGTCCCCATTTATTGTGATTCAACGGAAAGCCGTTATGGTGTGAATCATATCTGTTTCGGTAACTGCAGTCATTTGACAGTTGTTCGACAATTCATTTGAGAACTTTGGACCTCATGTATTATTTGACGGGTTTGGAAAATAATATTAATTACTCGGAGACAAACCGCCAACGCGGCGTCTGTGTCTCAGCAGTACGTCAGTAATTTGTCACCTTCACCTGTCACCCGTTTGTCGCATGATTTGTCTTTCGTTAACGTCACGTGTGCACCCACTGCCTGGTGTTGCAGTTCTGACCCTGGTGGTTTTGCTACATAACCATAACCCCTCACCGGTGTACATATTGGATTACTTTTCCATTACCGGAAAATACTATTCGCCCGACGCCGACTGCTTGTTATTTTTCCATCAAGTCGCATCTCCCCCCCCGCATTTATACTATGTCGCGCCTTGCACTATGCCGGCAACGTTTCCACGAGTTTTGTTTTCGCAGGATTACTTTTTGACCTTATCTCAAGAACATTAAATACAGTGACTACTTTAAGAAGCTCTGAAATAAACTTTCTTTCGAACTAAACGACCATACTCGTGACTTTTCCTTTTGTAACAAACGCATCTTAATCTAATTGAAAAGTATTGGAAACGCTTTTGAAAATTATCTGCTCAAATAAAATTTTGTTTATTTTTAAAGTACTATTTTAATTTGATAGAATTTTTAGTTGGTTCTGATACTAGTTACGTATACACGGGCATTGTAAATTTAACGATGTAACACTATTATAACTCAATTTGTCTGTTATTACAAAAACAATTTTCTGTAAATGTTTTAAATAGAAAAAAAAATTATTTACTTCTAGGTTGTATAGAAATAAGTCCATAACACGTGCTTCTGCGAGCACATTCGACAACCGAAGATGTCTGGCATGTGAACTGAATTTAAAATGAACTCGAGCACGCTTTGAATACATAACGAAATCGAATTTTTTCTGTTTTTTTCGAACTTTTCAATTACATCAGCAAAAAAAAAAAACCCTTTTCTTTGCGCTCGTGCTATGTGTAATATATTATAAAATATACGATGACTCTACCGAATGAAAGTCGCCAACAGAAGGTTGGCGACTTGAGTGTGTAAACAAAAGTGCAGGAATTCAAAGAGAGTTTTAGATTTATTAAGTATAGTTAACGGTAATAAAAATTTGATGATTTTTCTCGCTGGACCTCTATATTTTAGTTTATCTTAAAACAAGTATATTTGAGTTATCTGAACCATAATATTTTGAGTTGCTAAGCTATGTAGATTAGATGTGATACACATTTGTAACTACGTTGTTCTTGTTATACACAAACGTTGAAATCATTGGGTGGTTTTTATTTACCAAATTAAAATACATACGTCCACGCATTTACTTAAAAATCTATAGGATCATATACAAATGTATACTCTAAATGGTTTACGAAAGTGGTTTTTACGGTCATGAATGTGTCAGTAGGGATATTGTGTGAGTGAAATAAAAAAGCAAGAGTTTAAAACACATGTATCGCGGTATAATTTAAGAGATGTAGATAAGATTGTATGATTGGAGTACCTATGTATGAAACAACATTTAGGTGGGCGTCCGTTGGGGATTCATCGAACGTTAACGTACGACCGTATCTGTGAGGAATTATTTACAAAACACCTTCTGTCTGCCGCCACCACCGCTCTAGCAAGTCTTGTCACCGAGACCCTTGGAATTAATAAACAGAACCACCGGATTGTTTACGTTTAATGTGATCGTGCAAAGACTGCCATCATATATTCTATGGATAACAAGCAGCCCTCGGTCA